CCCCCCCCCCCCCCCCCGCAATGATCTCTTGAGTCTTAGGAGAGGGACTGTGACACAGATGTGCCATTTAGGGTCGAACACTTCAGTTTCTATTCTCTGCACTCTTGATTAGTTGTGAGTCTCCACATTAATTGCCCCCTACTACAGAAGTAAGCTTCTCCGATGCGGGTTAAGAGCTGCACTATTCAACGGGTATAAAGATAATTGTTTAGAAGGCAGATAGAATGTCCGTTTGGCAAAATAATAGTAAGTTCTCTCCTAGAGTCTGTGACCTACACAACCACGTGTTCTTGTCCCAGTTAACAGCACAAAGCATGAATTCTGGTTTGTGGAGTGACCCTTGTGTCCAACCAGTAAGCGATTGCTTAGTCCCTTAACACTGATGCCACTGTTGCACCAGTGGGCATATTTTTGCCAGTCTGTTTGTCATTGTAACTTGCAGGGTTCACAGCTGGGTAAGACTGTTGATTATATTTCTCTCCCAGCAGCCCATCTAGCACCATCCAGCACTCTGAGAACTAGCCAGTAGGGAGTAAGCTTCAAGGTCAACACCAGTTTGATTTCTCCACAACCTGTGACTCAAGAATGTAGTGTCTCTAGCAATAGGGTCTTACTTCCAAGTTCTGGTGGGTAACCAAGGGCAGTAACAGTAACCTGTATTGTTTTATGGACCCGTGGGATTCCCTGTGACTAGCAGCTTAAATTGGGGAACCAAATCTGGTACTGCCCAAGCCCAGCTTCATGAACTCTGCATGATTCAGGATGAAAAGATTGCACTCTCCCGGTCTTAATTAGTTTGTTTGTTTTATGGTGCTGAATATTAAACCTGGGGCCTTGTGTGTGTACTGTACACCTGAGTTATATAATTCCAGTCACTTACCCAAGAAACCTGAACGCAAGAAAGAATCTAGAGGGATTGGAGAGAGAGCTCCACAGTTACAAGCATTTGTTGTGCTGGCAGAGGACCCTGATTTGTTTCCTAGAACCCACACAGTGGGTTCACAACCATCCACAGCCCTGGTTCAGGGGATCCGATAACCTCTTCTGACCTCCACAGGCACCAGGCATGCTTGTGGTACACATACATACATTCAGGCAAAACAGTCGCAGACTTATACTTAGTCTTAAAACATATTTAAAGAGAAAGAATCTAGAATACAATCAGATAATGACATCAGACTAATGGGAAAAGAACCATAGTTGTGGTTCACTTCTGTGACACGCCTCAGTCTTTAGATGTCCTTATCTTCACAGTACTTTTTTGGGAGCCTATGAAATGCAACTAACATTTAGAATCCCTCCCATTCTGTTTTCCCACCTTTGTCTAACTCCATCCTACCAACAAATTTGATCCTCTAATGGAAGAATAAAGACATTTCTGGTGTACAAAGGTTTAAAGCCCTTGGGGGAAAAGTCTGAGTAGCATGTTGCTGGCTCCTGCGGTGGTTCTCCTACATTATCACTGATCAACATCACCTGGAACCTTTATCAAACCATTTTATTAGGCCCTGGGGCCAGAGTTTCTAGGTCTGAGACAGGATCTGAAATTTGCATTTCTGTTATAGTCCCAGGTGATGTGTAGTTAGGAACCTCAAGACAACGTTTGAGAAACATTGTGCTAGAGCAGGTTTTAAGCTCACAGCTGTTTGATATTTTGGACTAATGGTTAGGGGCACTGTTGTGTGCATTTTAGGGTATTTAATAGAGGCATTGCTGATTATGAAATAACAGTACTTACGTCACTATTCCAAACTCTCTTAGGGAGCAAAAAATCCCTCCTGGAGAGAACCACTGCCTAAAGTTGCTGATTACACATGACCTCATGCTTTACTCTTCCGATGCTTTTGAGGGAGGAGGGTGGAATGTGTTCTCAGAGCTTCTTGAAATTACAAGAAAGGTTGTGGCCCTTCAGATAGAATTTGTGCTTTAACACAGTTCAATGCAGTTATCTTTCAGTTTTACTGTATTACTATCCTGAAATGTCGCAACTATAAGTTTATTTCTTAGTTGAGATCTCTGTCAGTTCTAAGAGCAGAGGGGAACATTCTCAAGCTCTCCTAAGTACCTATGTACCTGAAGGGCTAAAACAGAAAACAATTATTTAGAAGCTCCATCTTAAAAATCAAAGTGAAAATTTAGCTCTGAGTCCTGGGGTGGATACACATAGTCTGTCAAATTACTCTTTCTTTAGAATTCCTTCCTTTGGACTGAGCATGTAGCCCAGTTTGTGGAGTACTTGCACAAAGCTTGGGTTAGCAGTGTGTAACCAGATGTGGCGGTGGTGCACGCCCTTAATCTCAGCAGTCCACTTCTAATTCTCCCAATCAGGAAGCGGAGGCAGGAGGATTGGAGAGTTTAAGGTCATCGTTGTCTTCAATAGTGAGTTCCAGGCCAGCTTCAGATACATGAAACTCTGTCTCAAATAAATAAAAAAATAAAAATTAAAAAAGAAAAAAAACTATTTGCTTTATTGAATTTTTTCTTCTGATTGACCAGGGTCGATTTTGTAACCCTGAGTAGGAATGTTAACTCAGTACTAGAACACTTTCCTTGCATGGACAAGACTCTGAGTTCCATTCCCAGCCTGGGGTAGGATGGATAAGAGCTTACATTCATTCCTTAACCTTGGTAGTACTTTAGAGGGTTCCAGATGCTAAAACTAGTGCCTAGGTACATAAGGATTAATTTGATGCATTTGTTAAAATAGATTAACAGAGATTAACTTGTTTGCACAGAGCTGTAATCTCAGCTACTCAGAAGGCTGAGGCAGGAGGATTACAAATTGACAGTTTGTAGAAACTACAGAGTTAGTTCAAGGCTATTGGCAAGATTCTGTTTCAGACATTTAAAAGAGGATAGGAGAGATGGTTCAGCAGTTAGGAGCACTGACTGTTCTTGTAGAGGACCTAAGTTCAATTTCCAGCACCTACATGGTGGTTTACAGTTGTCTATAATTCCAGTTCTAGGAGATATGTTGGCCTCTTGAGGGAACTGCATGCACACAGTACACATACAAGTGTGCAAAACACTCCTAGAGAGAGGTGGGGGTGGAAAAGGAAAGAGAGAAAGAGAAAGAAAAAGGTAAAGAAAGAAAGAGAAATCTCAGAATTTGAAAAGATGTAGAGATATAGCTCAGTAGTAGAGCTATACCTAGCATTTGCAAGGTTCAATCCTCCAGCAACATTTGTGTGTGTGCGCGCACACACACACAGTGGGGGAATGACAGAAAAAGAGAGAAGAAATTCTAGCTTTGTAAACACATCATACAGGATTCATTTGGTGGAGCTAAGAAATGTGTTTCTAAAATGAAAACTTCCCAGGTGTGTAGCACGGATTCCAGTTGATTTTAATAATAAAACACAGAGTAAGATATAGAAAAGATCAGAGAAGCAGAGAGGCCAGAATTAGAGAGTTCTTTTACCTTTACCAGTGCTCAGACCGAAGGAGTGATCCTGTCCTCAGACTACATCTCCAGACTCCATCTTTCTCCAGCAAACCTCAGACTGCACTAGCTCTTGTCTCCCACCCCCATCTTATATTCCTTTCAGCCCAGCCGTATCACTCCTGTCTCTACCTCCTTAGTGCTGGGATTAAAAGCATGGGATTCCCAAGTGCTGGGATCACCTTTGCATGAACTATGTTTTTCTTAAACTGATTGAATCTTTTGTAGCCCAGCATGGCCTTAAACTAACAGAGATCCCAAGTCCTGGAATTAAATGTATGTGTACCCACTGTCTGCCTCTAGTGGCTTAGCTCTGCACTCTGATCATCAGGCAAGCTTTATTTGTTAAAACATAAAATATTACTACACAGATGACTATCATGTACACCTAGACTTGGAAACTGCTAATATAAATAACCCCCCCCCCCATAACACAAGGGCCTGCTTGTGGCCCTGGCCGCCTGGCTAGCTTAGCCCCGAAATAATCACACAGAAACTATTCATTAAAACACTGCTTGGCCCATTTGCTTAGCCTTTTTGTTAACTCTTATAACTTATATTAACCCATTATTTTTATCTATGTTAGCCACATGGCTCAGTACCTTTTTCAGTGGGGTAGGTCACATACTGCTTCTTCAGTGTCTGGACAGAACTGCGGAGGAATGGGCTTCCTCCTTCCCAGAATACTCCTGTTCTCCTTGCCCTGCCTCTACTTTCTGTCTGGTTGTCCCGCCTGGCTACTGACCAATCAGCGTTTATTTAAAACATAATTGACAGAATACAGAATTGTCCCACCCCCCAATCTTTATATGGAAAAAACTGATATTAAAAGAGATTAGGTAAAATATCCCAGGCTATATGATAAATTAGTAGTAAAATTAAGGATTGGACTTGATTCATGACATTCCAAGCAGTGTTCACTGAACTTAATCAGTAAGCCCCTTATTTTGAGATGTTGTACCAAGCGATTAAGATGTAATATGTGATTGCCACTGTTTCATCTCTTTTTTTCCATGTATAAACCTACAAAAAGAGATAGCTTTTAAATGGACCATTAATTTAGCACCTAGAAAATTAAAATGGGTACTATTTTTTTTTAATGTATCAGCGTGGAGGCAGCTGCAGGTGGAATAAAGTTTAAAATCAGACCTGAGATGTTAGTTGGTTCATTTGTTCCTGTTACTCGTTTTCTGGTCATCATCCTCTCCCATGGATCCTCACTATATTTCAGGGCTGGCATTGAACTTAGAATCAATCCTCTTGTGTCACCCTCCTCAGTAACTGGAACTAAAAGTGTATGCGGCCATGCTTGGCTTATTTGCTAACTTTTTTAAAATCCAAACTCTGTATGTATTTAAGTTAGGACCTTTTTATCTCCCAAAATTATGTCTGACTAAAAACTGCTTCCTATAAGTAGTGACAAATCCCTTGCTTCTGCTGCTGTAACCATCTTCATCTGAACGACTCCTGCCCTATATAAAATAGGAAGTTATTACTACACTGTTAATAGTTCTCCCAGCACTTGGGAGTAGAGGCAGGAGAATCAGGAGCTCAAGGTCACCATGACCTGATACATAATGAATTGAAGGATAGCCTGGGTTACACGAGACCTCGACATTGTGGATACTATGGTACAGAGAAGCAGATAGATATACCCATTTTTAGTTGCAGTTTACTGCTTCATGGCTTATATAGCAATGTGTATTTTTAAAAATTTAAAAATAAATATTTATTTAACTTGGCATTTTTTTTCCTAACCCAATAAATAAAAAGAAGGGTGCTCACCTGGGTGTTATCTCAGTATTTCTGTTGTTACTCTCTAGTTTAGACTCATCAGTGTTAACAGAATGCCACAGCAGGCTTTCCTGCCTCTTTCCCTCCAGCATTTCCTTCATATTACATCAGTTTGGTTTGTACAGTTTGGGTCTCACTTTCTTGCTTCAAATCATTTTCTTACAAACTACCATTACTCTTAAGATAATTACAGATGTGGCTTATCGAGTCTTGCCTGATGACCCTTCTTTCTTTAGTTCTTCACGTGTTCTATATACCCTTCTGTTCCTTTCTTCCCATAGTTTCCACCTATCTATACCAGGCTTCTTTTCATTCCTACAACATATCTTCTCAATTGAATTCTGTGTCCATACACCCCACAATATTTCCACCAAATTAAAAGATCTGTATTAGGATGTCCTTCATCTGTTTATCCTCATTGACTTACTTCCTTTTAAACCCGGGTTTGTCAGTGGCTGATAACTGTTGGCTGTATTTCTTTTTTGGTCTCAGGTGGCCTTGATCCCCTGAATTTCTGCCTCTACTTTCCAAGTCCTAGAATTATAGGTGTGTGCCCTTAGGCCCTTCTTGGGTTTATTTCTTAAATTTCTCTTAATCAGTACAAAGTTAGTTGTGATTCAGTATATATTTGAAACTGGAATGAATTGAATATCCAACCTAATGATGATAAATATGAATTCTGTATCCATATAAAAATATTTTCGCCTTTGAGTATCAGAAGTCTCAACCTGACTAGGCTTAAAAAAATAAATTATTCATAATAGGAGATCTCACATTTTTAAGTTCAGTGGTTAAAATTTATCAAAATTTATCTCAAATACTTAGTTCTTTGAATCCTTCCTCTCTGTTTTCTGTTGTCCATTACATAACCCTTAAGACTTATTTCTGGGTGATGAGATGGCTCAGTCAATAAAGGTGTCTGTTACCAAGCCTCATGATCTGCATTGTCTGTGGACTCACCTGGTAGAAGGAGAAAACCAGCTCCCACAAGTCGTGCTCTGACTGCCACATGTTTACTGTGACACACACCTGCCCTCACACATGCACATTGGTCCATACTGTTTTGGCCCTTATTGGGCTTGAGTCAGTCATCACTGTTAGAGGGGCTGAAGTCACCATCATCTTCTTGGACGGTCGTCTGTGAGTAGTGTGATGAGGGTTGGCCAGTATCTACTACAGTTTCTCTTTCGCTTATATGGGGAAAATTATGATTATTAAAATTTTTATCTCATTATGAAATAATCATACACACATGTGCATGCACAACACAGACACACCCACACAAACAAACCCTAAGAAATCTTAATATAGCTAACCATTGGATCTTTTCTTCCTTCAGATCCAGACCTTTAATGTGGATACACCATGCCAGACCGTGGAAGATTTAACGAATGGGGTGGTGATGTCCCAGGTTCTTCAAAAGATGTAAGAATAAATTGCTTGTCTTTTTTTATGGTCTTACATATAAGCCTTTCTTGAATTGAAAAGGATTAAAAAAGTTAAAGTGTGAGATTTAGTTTTCTTTCTTTCTGTCTGTCTGTCTGTCTGTCTGTCTGTCTGTCTTTCTTTTGGTTTTCTATCTTTGACAGAATAAGATGATCTATTCATATGAAAGGTTTGTTTTTGGTTTATAGTTTTGGGTATTTCAGCCCTTGATCATTGTCCCATTGCTCTTGGGCCTCTGACAAGGCAATACCATGTTGCGAGCATTGGCAGAAGAATCAGCTTCCCTCACAGACGTCAAGAAGCAAATCGGGCTGGAGCGATGGCTTAGTGCTTAAACGCACTTGTTCCTGCTGAGTACTCAGCTTTGGTTCCCAGCTCCCACGTGGTGACTCACAGCCATTGGTAACTCCAGGTCCAGGAGATCCAGTGCCCCTTCTGGCTTCTGGGCACCAGGCATGCTTATAGTACACATACATAAATTCAAACAAAACGTATGATGATAAAGTACATTTTAAAAGAAGAAGCAAGACAGGATGTCGTAGAGGCCCTATGAAGTTCCTTCAAGGGTGAGCCTTCAGTAATCTAGCTTCCTCTTACAGAGGCCTTACTTCATAAAGCATCCACCATCTTAACAGTTACAAGTCACAAACCACCTTGCACCTTTAGGGATCATTTCAGATCTGAACTATAACAAAAAGATTATATAAACTTGAGTTGCATGTGGAATGACAACTGTAAGCAGCAATGAGAATTTTGATGGCATGTACTTAGGTATAGATTGGCAGCAAGTTTAGTTAGGGCAGTGGTTGTTATTCTAATTGAGGTTGATAACCAGATTTTGCCATTATAGGACAACTTGAGAATTCTGTCTCTGGTAGAATACCACTCTAATCTTAGCACTGAGCTCTTTCCTTATCAACAGTGTGATATAGCAATTGTCATACATTTTCTGTTCCCTATACTTTCTGTATTATTATACTCTGAACTATGTAGTACCTAAGGTTTATTTTCTTTATGCCCACATGTGTGTGTGGGGGGAGAGAGGGTGGATACGGATACCTAGAAGCAGGCATCAGGTCTCTTGAAGCTGGAGTAATAGGTTTAACTCCACATCTGCCTGATAGGGATGCTGGAATGCAAACCCTGATAAAGCAGTAAGTATTCTGAACTGCTGAATCATATCACCAGCTCAGTTTTCTTTTTAATTTTTTTTAAACAAAATTTTATCTTAATTTAAATTACAAAGTCTGCTAGATTTTTTAATAAATTCATTTTTCCTCATGAGAATTAAGATACTTCTATGACATTAATAAATTAACAACTGTATACTTCTCACTTTTTGAATAATTCATTTTGTTATGTGTGTGTGCATATGCAGTGTGTCACATATATAGCATAGTGCACATGTAGAGGTCAGAGGGCAGCTTTGGGGAGTCTGTTCTCTCCTATCTTGAACTCTGGTTGTCAGACTTCTATACCAAACACTTTACTTACTGAGCCTGCTCATTGGCCCTCGCACATTTTTTACTTTTAAAGTGTTAAAAAAAATCAGATAACTGTTTTAAGTAAAATTCAGCCTTTATCAAACAAGAAGAAACTACTTCCAGCGTAACCATTTGAGTGTGTTAAATGATCATACTTAAAATGCAACTGTTGAACTTGGTGTTTACATTGGCTTGTTTAAAGACAAACCAGAAGGTCTGACCTGCCTTCAGCTCTCATACGTTAGTAACAGGCAGTGCTTTCTTTGGCACACCACACGCCCACATCTTCCTGATGAACGCCTTTAATGCTACCCATGATTGCCAAGGTGGAAGCTGTTTGTTGTCTGACATTCTAAGAACTAGCTTGGCAAGGAGATGTTGCTTCCATTTCGTTGTAATAACTGTTTTCACACTAAATCCAAACACACAGCACTAGACCACAAACTCCAGAATGCTTAGCTCTGTCTAGCCTACCTAAGGGATTATTTCAAGATCAGAGTAATTTTTCTATTTCTATTAGAATCATGAGTTATTTTACACAGGTTCTAGTAAAGACAGCCTCACAAAAATTTTGAGGCTTCATTTAAAGTAAACAAAATGAAATATATCTGTGTTTTCTAGAGTAGGTTTTCTGACTTGTGCTCCTTGAAGGGGTCCTCAAGTCTTGCTAAACCATCTGTTGGAAGGCTTGTTTTACTGGCCAATGAGTATTTAGTTAGATAATATAGCAAAAATAATTATATAGATGTCTTAATTGCTATGTTTAATTGACACCGGCATACTCTGAGTCATTACTTGTGATCTGCATGTCACCAAAATAGTCAGATATTATTCTAATAACTTTATATAGATGCATGTAACACAAATTCTAATTGTTCTTAATAATAAAAACCTAGAATCAGATATTAGGGGTGAAAACTGAGAGAACAGAGAGGCAGTACAGCCAGCCACTAGAGAGACCTTTTGGTCCTCAGACTGCACTGAGCTCTTATCTCCTTCCACCTTACATTCCTCTCTCCACCCAGCCATATCGCTCCTGCCTCCACCTCCATAGTGCAGGGATTAAAGGCAGGGGATCCCAAGTGCTGGGATCACCTTTGTGTGAGCTCTGTTTCTCTTTTAGACTGGATCAAGTTTATGTAGCCCAGGGTATCCTTAAACTAACCCTGTCTTGAAAAAAAGTAAAATTAACAAATACCCTTCAACATATACAGTTTCACAGATCTCAAGAAAATCACATGTCAAAAAGTTCTAGAAGGCTGTGAAAAGCAAATACATATTTTCTTTAGGACCTTGTGAAACCACATTGTGATGAAGTTGCTAAGTTTCGGTATCAAATTAATTTTCACAACGGTTTTATCTGCTTTGATACTGTCCACACACTGTGGACAGAATTTCCCGCAGATCTCCAGCAGAGTTCCATACACATTTCCTTCAGCCAACTCAGGCACTATACTATCCCTTTAAGATGTTAGGTGTATGCTGCATGCCATATCGTGTGGTGTCTTCACCAAAGAGGGCGACGTGTATCTAGGTGTTGCCTGCTAGGATCATACCCTCTTCTGTACATTACTCTCATACATCCCTTGGCCTTCAGGAACACAGTTATATTCAGAATTCTAAAGCTAATAGAGTCTTTGGATTCTGAAATGATGCAAAGAGCAGGGAAAGCCACAGCGAGGGCTCTAGTGTGCAGTCTGACCTGGACTGGAAAACCACTGGCTCAGCGGCTCAGCAGATCAGCAATGATGTCCTTCAGGAAACAGAATGCCTACTGTTAAATAACTATCCATAAAGGCTGAGTTTGGATTGAGGCTTGTAGATGTTCATTGTATATGGGCATTTTGTTGCACTGGTCTCACCAATTCCTGATCCGTTTAAGTAGGTCTTTTTCTTCCTCCCTGTAGAACTACTTGTCCATGGTCCTGTTCTGAAATTTACCAAAGAATTATATGAGAGGTTTGGGTCTTGAGGATGTCCAAGATAGATTGCATCTTTTTGAGGTTGGCCATGAATACTTTGAAAATACAAAATGTCTCAAGCTAGATAGTATAACTCTTGTGTTATAGTGTTGTCATTGACTTGAGGTGCTCAGATTCATTACTAAATGTCATCTAATTACGAAGTTGTGTCTTATGTCCACCAAGAAGCTTCAGTGACTCTTGCTCTGTCACATTTTATAAATGAAATAATTTCTCATAGTCACTGAAAACTCTTATCATAACACTGTCCCAAAACACTAAGAAATGTGTCTTAAGTAAATCTTCGAATGTAACAAAAACATCCGAATTTATGTCAGATGTCGGCATTTCAGCATATCTGAAGAAATCAGAACTGTTCACACACACACACACACACATTTGCATTTTTCTTAACCCACGGTTTAGAGCTTTTGTGGAGATTATTTATTCTTCCAGTACCATGAACAAAGTACTCTGATGGGGACAGATTATTTAGCATTTTATCTTCTGAAAAAAATTGACCGTTGTCTTTCTGCCTGCTAAGTTCATGAGCTGTGGGTCAGCTGCCAGGCTGCTGAGCAGGCTGCTGCTCCATAGCTCCTAAGCAAGTTGAGCTGCTGCTTCTGCTGTGGTTCTTACTATTTCTTTCTTCCTCTGGAACAGAGCAAATGTGTATAACAACAAGCTAGAAAGACTCCCGAAGTGGGAGGAGTTTCCAGAGGGGTGCCCCTAAGGTTTTTTTTTTAAATACACTTACATGGAAACTTATGTAGCCTTTTTTTGTGTACCAGCCCCCAATGTCTCTTTTAAAACAACCTTGATTTCCTTCTAGCTTCTTGTCATATCTGTTGGAGATTCGTTTCTTTTTTTCTCACCATGTTTGCTGTGTCTAATAGGAAGGCTACTGATTTTTGTGTTGATTTTATTGTCTACCACTTTGCTGAAAGTGTTTATTAGATCACTTTTCTCTTAGACTCTTTAGTGTATTGTGTGTAGAATCACATCATGTACAAAAAAGGGTCCAATCCCTAGACAAAGAACTACAGCCAACTAAAGAATGCTGCAAGCAGGAGAAATAGTCTTCCTAAGGATGAGTCCCTGACTGGTTATCTATTACCAAAGTGGTCAGTCCTGAAATCGTAGCCGCACAAGTACTCAAGGCCACCCTGGAACTTGCCCTAAACAAACAAACAAACCATCTTTTTAAAGAAGTAGAATCAAAATATGATTCCTGTTGGAGTCATATTAATGTGTATGGGTTTGTAAAGAATATTACATTATTTAAATATTTCTAGCAATAGAAATTAAATTAATTTCTTTTGTTGTTGTTGTTAGTTGAAAGCATTTGGATATAAGAAGACAATATATTTTTGGAATTATGTTAAGAATTAAAACTAATGTTTCTTTCCTTCATCTGACCTGCTACAAGTGTAAGTACAGGCAAATAAATCCACTGCTGGTTAAGGAGATGGTTTTAACAGTTGTCAAGGCATAGGTGCATAATTTGTTATTTGTGAAAAACATTCCCAGTGAG